CCCCCCACCTCCCACCACCCCCAACCAAAAAAAAAAACCCTGTGCAGCCAAACAGTCGAACAGTTGATGCAAGAGACTGGATGCAGCCTGGAACATCCGTCTGCCACCAAATTCCGCAACCATGTGACGGAGGGTGACTGGGAAAAGGTAACTGGACTCTGATCGCTCCCTGCTGTTTACAACCCGCTGGATTGAGTTTGCACTCTGGCAGACCCATCCTGCCCCAGGCAGATGCGTGCTGGGGTCTCACTGGCCTCAAGGTATCCCATTCCTGAGGCCTCCTGACTTCTCTCAGCGGCAGCTGGGCAGAATGCAGGAAAAGAAGCAAACATCAGGGATCTGCTGTGACACCTAACCCTACTCCCAGGGCTCTGACCACAGCTAGCCTACTCTAGGAAGCTCTCGTACGAGTCCTGGCCCACTGCTGTGGACCACTCACGGGGTTTTGCCAGTGTTCGACGAAGTCAGTGTGGAGGGAGTTTTACTCTATCTAAGCCTATGCTGTAGTTGTCCTGGGAGTGTTTTATGGGAACAGCGTGGAGATGGCTTTACTTTCTACTCTAAGGAAAAGGGAGATTCACTTTCAGTCAGAAAGAGTAGAGGACGTTTATGTGTCTAGCCCTGTGTTTTCCTTCTCCTGGAGTGCCTGATGGGGACAGTGTTGAGGCATAATGTTTAAAAGGTTAGGGAGAGCTCCCCTTTGTATCTAACCCTGTGCTGTCCCTGTCCTGGAATTGTTGATCAGTACAGCGTAGAGAGCTTTACTCTGTATGTAACCCTGTGCTGTCCCTGTCCTGGGAGTGTTTGATGGGGGACAGTGTAGAGGAAACTTTACTTTCTCTTTAAAAGAGTACAAAGAAGTTTCTCTAACCTTGTGCTGTACCTGTCCTGTGAATATTTGATGGGAGCAGTTTAGAGGGAGGTTTACTTTCAGCTTAAAAGAGGAAAAGGAACTTAAACTGCTTTAACCGTCCCGGATGAGTCTGATGGGGACAGTGTCGAGGTAGCTTTACCTTCCGTTTAAAAGAGTAGAGGGAGCTTTACTCTGTATTTAACCCCAGGCTCTACATGACAGTTGGAATGTTCCTCCATCCTTGCTGGACTGGGAGCAGGAGAACCGTGAGTGTGTGCTGACTGCGGTGTTATCTATCTTTTAGGCTGAAGCTGACCTCACCGAACTCAAGTCCTTGGTGCACTTGCCTCAGGCCATTGTGGTAAGGAGAGAGGGTGGGGATTATGGGGTTGATCATGGGGGAAGACTGCAGACAATGGATTCTACCCGCTCGTTTTGCATGTAGACTGATCGAGTTTGTTTCCAAGCTTATCCCTAGCGGGAACAAGAAGTCACTTGTGTATCCCCCTCTGCCCTCCATGCTGACTCAGCTTGCCATTCTTGCTGCCTGTCATGGGCATGTCATTCAGATTGCCCTGTTGTTAGTACTCATCCTATTTGGTTCCTCAATGGAGGAATGTTCCTTCACCACCAAGTCCCGGGGGACTTGAATCCAGACTCCCTAACTGAGAGGCTGGGGCGCTATCCACACCGACGATCTGGTTACATATGGCTAACATTTCAGGTCTGGTGATCCTTCTTTGGAACCAGAGCCAGAACATTAACTCTGCTTCCTCTTCACGGATGCTGGCAGACCTGCTGAGTTCCTCCAGCAATTTCTGTTTCGAATTTCCAGCATCCACAGTTCTCTTTTTCGTGTGGCAGCCTTTGAACCATAGTAAGATGCACAGCATTCATTCAGCTCATTCTGCAGGTATTTTAAAGGGCTTTCCCATCAGCCACTGATCCCGAACCCTCCCGGTGCCCTGCAATGTTCTGTCCTTCAAATACATAACCAGTTCTCCTTTTGAAAGTTACTGTCACATCTGCTCTCACTGCCCTTTTAGCACGTTCTTGATCAGTAAAGTAACAAAGTTAACCTCGTGTTCTTTTGCTGATACCCCTCAGTCTCTGTCCCTCAGATCACTGTCACTGGTGACAGTTTCTCCGTACCTTCACTACCAAAAACTCTCATGATTTTGAATGCCTCAATTAAACCTCCTCTTGACCTTCTCTGCCCCAAGGAAACAGGCTGTGTCTTCTGTCTCCCCACACTTACCAAAGACCCTCATCCTTGGCACTGATCTGCTAAAACAATGGGCTGCTTGATCATCGCAGCGCCATCTTATACTCTGTCTAGCCAGTCTCGTGCTGGATCAGAACAGGGATGAGACAGTGTCCGCTTCCACCCGTCCTGAAAGGAACCACCAGGTGGAGGGAGAAAGAAAGTCACATGCTGGCAGAGGGACAGAAGAGAGAGAATCACACGCTGGCAAAGTTGTCGGGAGTGGTGGGGGGAGGGGGGAGACTGGGAGAGAGACTGGGGGTGGGGGGCGGAGGGCCTCAGTGGTGAGGGTGGGGTTGGGGGCTGAGAGTGCCTCAGTTGCGGGGGGATGAGGGGGGGGGAGAGAGAGACTTGGGAGTGGGGGGCAAGAGAGAGACTGGCTGGAAGAGGGGGGCAGAGAGAAGGAGAGATTCACTGGCAGAGAGGCGGGGTTAGAGACAGATGGAGAGAGACTGACTGGCTAGGGTTGGGGTTGCGGGGGAACAGGGAGAAACGGACTGGCGGAGAGAGGACAGGTGGGGAGGGACCCACTGGCAGAAGGAGAGAGACAAACATGCTGTTAGAAAGCGAGAGACTGGCAGAGTATGAAACACATTTGCCTGCCAAGGTCCACTGTGCCCTCCCCAGCCTCTATCCTTGCTGAGATCTGTTGGCGATATGTAGTCTGTTCTTCTGAAGCTGGCTGCTGTTATCTACCTGGCCCCCTCTGTCTTTCCCAGCCCTTGAGGCCTGTCCATTACTGAGATCCTCTTTTGCCTGCAGCGCATGAAGTTCCTGCTGCTGGAGCAGAAATACCTGGAATTTTTGGACGATGGGAAGGTGCTTGAAGCTCTGCAGGTGCTCCGCTTTGAGCTGACTCCGCTGAAGTACAACACAGACCGTATCCATGCTCTGAGCGGGTGAGTGAAGTCCGGGGTAAGAGGGGGAGAGACAGCCTGCAGAAGCTTGGTACAAGTGCAAACTGCGTTTACAGGCAACCTGTGGCACATTCAGGCCAGTTCCAGAGCAATGGGCCCATTCATGTTAAGCAACCAGAATCCAAGCTGTCTCTCTTTGTGTTTAACTCTCTCTCTGTGTCTGTCTGTCTCACTCGTGAGTCAGGAGTTGGAGGCTGCAGAAATGTGAGTCCATCATCTATGCAGATGCTCCCAGTGCAACAACTTGAGGGAGTGCTGCACTGTTAGAGGTGCCATCTTTGGGATGAGGCAGTACACAGTTCTCCCACCCAACCTTGGGTGGAGGTTCAAACTCCCATGAGCGCTACTGGAAGGAGAGCATTCTTCACAGTGCCTTTCTAGGTTTTTTCTATCTTGCCTCTCTGCGTTTTTCACCTTAACATCCGGTGACTGTCAGAGTATCTCCACTAGATCTTTGTACATAGGTCAGTGTCTGCCACTGTGCCCTGGATAACTGACAAAAGAAAAATGAGTTTTCTAAAAAAAAGTTATTTAATTGATGTGAGCATTGGTGGCAAGGCCATCACTTACTACCTTCAAGAAAGAGTGACATGCTCCTTCAGAGGGCAGTTTAGAGTCAACCACATCACTGTGGGTCTGGAGTCACGTATAGGCCAGACTGGGTAAAGAAGGCAGATTTGCTTCCCTAAAGGAAGTTAGTGAGCCAGGTGCATTTTTTACAACAATGGATTATAGTTTCGTGGTTGCCATCACTGAGATAAGCTTCAAATTTCGGTTTCTAATTGAAATTCCTAACCCTTCCAGTTGTCATGGTGGGATTTGAACCCAGGTCCCCGAAGCATTAACTTGTTCATTCGGTGACATTGCCGCTAGCCCATCATCTCCTTCAGAATAAAGCAGAAAGGCTTGCATTTCCATAGGACCCGAGTGCTTTAGTCACTGTTGCACTGTAGGAGATGCATTTACACACAGCAAATTCACTGAAACAGCAAAGAGTTAGCAGGCAGGTCATTGTTTTTAGGGGTTCCTACTTTGCCAATCAATTCGTTGTGTACCAGACTGGTTCGTTGCTCCAAGCAGACAGTATGTTTTGAGATTTCTGTTGCTGACATTACCACGGAAGCAAACAATTGATGTCGTTTCTCCATTAACAGAATGATGTAGTCCACAGACGTCCCAAAGATCTGCATGTGAGAGGAATCGTAAACAAAAGTGGGCTTTCCATTACTTTGTCTTGCTCTCTGTCTTTTTATTTTAATTAGAGAGTCATACAGCACGGCAGGGAAACAGACCCTTCAGTTCAACTTGTCCCTGCTGACCTGACATCCCAATCTGATGTAGTCCCATTTGTCAGGATTTGACCCGTATCCCTCTATTCGTGTACCCATCCATGCCTTTTAAATGTTGTAATTGTACCAGCCTCCACCACTTCCTGTGGCAGCTTTGTTCCATACACGCACCATCCTCTGTGTTACCCCTCAAGTCCTTCTTTAAATCTTTCCCCTCTCACCTTAAGCCTATGCCCTCTAGTTTTGGACTCCCCTCTACCCCAGAGAAAAGATCTTGGTTATTCGCCCTGTCCATGTCCCTCTTGATTTTATAAACCTCTATAAGGTCACCCCTCAGCCTCCGACACTCCAGGGGTAAAAGAAGCCCCAGCCTGTTTAGCCTCTTCCCTATAAATCAAACCCTCCAACCCTGGCAACATCCTTGTAAATCCTTTATTCACACACTCGAGTTTAACAACATCTTTCCTGTAGCAGGGAGACCGGAATTGTACATGGTTAGGCCACTTCTGGAATACTAATGTCCTGTACAGCTGCAATGTGACGACTCGACTCCTATACTCAGTGTTCTGACCAATGAAGGCAAGCATGGCAAGCACCTTCTTCCCGTTTACCTGCAACCCCACTTTCAAGGAACAATGCACCTGCACCCCTTGTCTCTTTATTTGGCATGACTCCATAGGCCCTACCAATGACTCTAAGTTCCACCCTGATTTCCCTTACCAAAATGCACCATCTCATATTTATCGAAATGAAGCTTCATCTGCCACTCCTCAGCCCATTGGCCCACCTGATCAAGGTCCTGTTGTACTCTGAGATAACCTTCTTTACTGCCAACTCACCACCAATTCTGGTGTCATCTGCAAACTTACTAACCATGCCTCCTATATTCACATCCAAATCATTTATATAAATGATAAAAAGCAGTAGACCCAGCAGCAATCCTTGTGGCACACCACTTGGCATAAGCCTCCAGTCCGAAAAACAATCCTCCACCACCACTCTCTGTCTCCTACCTTCAAGGCAATTTTGTATGCAAATGGCTAGCTCTCCCTGGATATCATGTGACCTAACCTTGCTAACCAATCTACCAAGCAAAACCTTATCGAATGATTTGTTGAAATCCATGTAGACAATGTCTACCACTCCACCTTCATCAATCTTTGTCAGCTCTTCAAAAAACTCAACCAAGTTAGTGAGACGTGATTTCCCCCACACAAAGCCATGTTGACTCTCCCTAATGTGTCCTTGCCTTTTTAAATGCATGTAAATCCTGTCGCTCGGAATCCCTCCAACAACATACCCACCACTGACATAAGGCTCACCAGTCTGTAATTCTCTGGCTTTTCCTGACAGCCTTTCTTAAATAATGGCAACACATTAGCCACCTTCTAGTCTTATGGCACCTTACCCATGGCTATTGATGATACAAATATCTCAGCAAAAGGCCCAGCAATCTCTTTCCCTTGCTTCCTGCCAGTTCTTGGATATACCTGACCAGATCTGGGGGATTTATCTACTTTTATGCATTTTAAGACCTCCAGTACCACCTCTTCTGTAATATGAACTCTTTTCAAGACATCACCATTTATTTCCCCAAGTTCTGTAGCTCCATGTCTTTCTCCACAGTAAATACTGACGTGAAATATGCGTTTAGTATCTCACCCATCTCCTGTGGTTCCGCACATAGGTGGCCATTTTGATCTTTAAGGGACCCTATTCTCTCCCTCGTTTCTCATCTGCCCTTGATGTACTTATAGAATGTTCTTGGATTTTCCTTAACTCTTGCCAAAGCTATCTCATGTCCCCTTTTTGCCCCCCCTGGTTTCTCTCAAGTATACGCCTACTGTCCTTATTCTCCTTGGGATTCACTTGATCCCAGCTGCCTATACCTGCCATATATTTCCTTCTTGACCACAGCTCAATTTCTCTAGTCATCCAGCATTCCCTACACCCACCAGCCTTATGCTTCGCACTAACAAGAACATACTGTCTCTGAACACTCATTCTCTCATTTTTAAAGGCTTCCCACTTCCCAATTACCCCATTACCTGTGAATAGCCGCCCGCAATCAATTTTTGAAAGGACTATCAAAATTGGCCTTACTCCAATTAGAACTTAAACTTTTGATCAGTTCTACCCTTTTCTCTAACTATTTTCAAACGAATAGAATTATGATCACTGGCCCCAAAGTGCTCCCTCACTGACACCTTAGTCACTTGCCCTGCCTTATTTCTCAACAGAAGGTCAAGTATTGCTCCTCCTGTAGTCAGTGTATCCACCTATTGAATAAGAAAATTTTCTTGTACACACTTAACAAATTCATTCCCATCCAAGCCCTTAACACTATGGCAGTCCCAGTCTATGTTCGGAAAGTTAAAATCCCCTAGAGTTACGACCCTATTATTCTTACAGATAGCTGAGATATCCTCACATATTTGCTTCTCAGTTTCCTGCTGACTATTTTGGGAGGGCAGGGGGCTATAATACAATCCCAATAAGGTGATCATCCCTTTCTCATTTCTCAGTTCTACCCATATAACTTCAATGGACGATCTCCCAAAAATATCCTCCCTAATTACAACTGTAATGTTATCCCTAACCAGAAATGCCACTCCCCCTCTCTTGTCTCTCTTTCTATCCTTCCTAGAGCATCTATACCCTAGAACATAAAACTGCCAGTTCTGTCCATCCCTGAACCTCGTTTCTGTAATAGCAATGATATCCCAGTCCAAGTTCTCCTCTACACCTTGAGCTCATCTGCCTTACCTGTCAGGCCTCTTGCATTAAAGTAAATGCAGTTTAATTTCTCAGTCTTACCTCGTTCTCTGCCAAGTTGTTTTCTGCCTTGACTATTAGCCTTGCTTCTCTTATCTACTGTACCAGCCTCAGCCTTTTCTCTTTCTCGCTATCTGTTTGGTTCCTGCCCTCCCCCTTACTAGTTTAAAGCCTCCTGAGTAAAACTAGCAAATCTCCCTCCATTGGTCCCCTTCCAATTCAGGATAAGCCATCCTCTTGTACAGGTCATTTCTTCTCCTGAAGAGATTCCCCTGATCCAAAAATGTGAATCCTTAACCGCTGCAGCAGCTCCTCAACCATACATTCATCTGCTCTATCCTCCTACTGCTGCTCTCACTAGCACGTGGTGCAGGTAGTGGTCCAGATATTACTACTCCCGAGGACCTACTTTTTAACCTCCTGCCTGGTTTCCTATATTCTCTGCAGAAGCTCCTCCCCTTCTCTGCCCATGTTGTTGGTACCAATGTACACAACGACCTCCTACTTATTCTCCCTTTTGAGGATATTCTGCATCCGCCCTGAGACGTTCTTGACCCTGGTATCAGGAAGGCAACGCACCATCCTAATGTTTCTGCGGCTATCAGCAAAATGTCTGTCTGTGCCCCAGACGAGAGAGACCCCTTTACAATCAATCACATGGAACCTGATTTACCCTTCATTACAGTAGAGCCAATCACAGTACCAGAAACCTGGCAGTCAGGGCTATACTCCGCTGAGTGGTCACTCCCCTCTGCCATCTCTGCTTCAGTATCTGAAACAGCATACCTGTTTGAGATGGGGATAGCTACAACAGACATGTGCATTACCTGGCTACCTCTCCTAACATTTCTAGCGAGAAACCATTTACCTGGTTAGCTGTGTCCCCACCTTCCTGAAACTGCCATCCATCACACCCCT